TCCGTATAAAAAGTTAATAATATGACAAGAGAGATAAATACATTACATTATTCGAACAAATTTTTATTCAATTACCTTTTAATCGTTTTAACTTGTATCCGGCGATTTGCCCAACACACAAGTAAAAGGTATTTTCTCGTTAACAAAATAATTTTTTCCATAAAAAACCGTCATTTTCTTATTCTTTAAAGTTTAACGAAGAAGCCTAGCGCTGTTCAACGTTCTTTTCGTCATCTGATCTAATTTTTATATAGAAATAGAAGTACATTACAGTCCCAGTTTTTCCCCACTTTTTTCTGAATTTCTACCAATAATATGTCTTTTTAAAGCTATGTCATAAAATAATGAACATAGAAATACTTTTAACAAATTTAATGATAATATAGAAAATAATCATATATAATATTAACATAAAATAATTTTCACAAATATAATCATTTTCAAACGATAAAATATTGTATGTTTTAATATTTACTTTGTACGCTTAAGTAAAACGAACTTAATTGTTTATATACCTCACTGTTATATCTATTATTTAACATTATACCTGGCTTATAATTATTTATCATTAATTTTTAGTCGAAGCATTAATTAAATCAGTAAAATTTGTTGCTACTTCTTTGAACGATTTCATTTCAACATACAGTTTACCCACAATTACACAATCTCAACAAAAAATTTCTAATTCTACTACTTTATATCATTTTTAAAAATTTTATAATTTAATATGTTAGATAAAAGTTATTAACTAAAACAATTATTAATCGTTTTCATAAAATTATGTCATATTATAATGTTAAGCTATTAAAATTGTAAAAAAATGAATATAATAATTACCAGCAGGACCAGGGTCACCGCGATCTCCTGGTGCGCCTAAAAGACCAGGTATTCCAGGTTTACCGTCTAAACCTGGGGGACCAATAATCGATACGCCGGGGAATCCTTTCGGTCCAACTTCTCCAGGTGGACCTTCCAAACCAGACGGTCCCTGCAAACCTATATCTCCAGGAAGACCTAGAAAAATGTGAATAGAAACATTTTTCAAACATGTCAACGTATTCGTGAGAATTTGTATGAAGATATTATTCGATACGTGCCATCAGATCCTGGCTCTCCTTTCACGGAAGATCCTTTTACCCCTGGCAAACCAGGATTACCGGCGGGTCCTGGAGGACCAGGTGGTCCGATGTAACCTACTTTTCCAGGTGAACCGGGAGTGCCTGGATGGCCTGATAGACCGGGTGGACCTAACCAGAAAGAAAGTAACTGTGAAAACTATTTTAGAAAAACTTTTTAATGCTTAACTTCTTAAATACCAAGCAAGGAAATACGGCGATTTTTACACTGATTATTATATTATGAAATATGTATGTATTATGTTTGTTAGTTACAAAGAAATTTTTGGATGGGTACAGTTCATAGAAAAAATTTGGTAAATAACAAATGCCATTTACAAAAATATGAATATAAGTTTGTCGATATATAAAAACTGCATGATAAGAGTAGGCATGATATAAAGGAATAATGCACAAGAAAGATATATGACGAAAATTTTTATAATTTAAAGCAAGATTGATTTATTATAGTGTTGCAAGTAGTAGAATTTCCATTTTCAGGAAACTTTAGGTTCCAACTGAAAAGAGCGATAAAAATAAATATTGGGCAATTCTCTGGAATCTTCTTGTATAATAGTAACAAAAACCGTAATTTAATAATAAAAATTCAATGGAAAAGAAATGAACCGTGAAATGTTGCAACGCAACGTTCGGCCTTAATAAATTAAGATTTGATCATTATATTGGGTCACTTGAAATTAGATAGTTAAAAAAGTTGATCTGTACTGATGTTAGTGGTTTGATATGGAAAATGAGATGTTCACTTTCAATATAGTTCATCAAACGAGAACGAACCTACATCTCCCTGGATTCCAACATTTCCTTGAATTATTTCGTCGAGTTCTGGTATATATTTTCCGGGTTCTCCAGCTGCTCCTTGTTTACCGGGGGCTCCTTGATTTCCTGCATCTCCAGGCTCCCCCTGAATTTAATATTCAAAATATTTTATCACACTGAATTGGTTCCACAAACGTATAATGATGCCAATTTTTAGAAAATTTAATATATCCCTTTTAAAAGACACACTTTATCCCAGAATTCTTGTAATAATAATTTTTTTTAATTTTTAGAAATTTGGAGTAAAACGCAACATTAATCAGATATCATGCAGTTTTAAACGGAAGTGAAAATAATAAATATAAAAAACTGTTTATTAGAAAATGTATTATAATTATATATATTATATATCTATTAATATAGTTTTAAAATGTAGGAATTATTCCATTATTCTTTTAAACACAAAGTAACATGTTAAGAACTGAAAAGTAAAAAAAATCTATGGTACAGATGTTTGAATTGTCGAGTGTGTGTCACTGGTCATTGAAAGAAAGGTCTTTAAAATTTTTGAGAAATAAATGTTTTATTTGTGGGTAACAGCTATACAGAAAGTAATATTTATCTGTTTTATGACATTAAATTACGGTACTTACATCAGATCCTGGTAGTCCAACATTTCCAGCGTAACCTGGAGCACCTTTTTCTCCTTTTGGACCGGGAGGTCCAAGCGGACCTTCCGCGCCCTGTTTACCTCTTGGTCCGTCATCACCTTGCTCTCCTTTCATGCCTTTAATACCCAGGAACCCTGGACGACCCTGCATACAAATTTTTTAAACGCTCTGAATGCAATAACCAGCGAAAACTGTACTTCACTTGTCAATCCTTTTTATCAACTCTGGTAACGTTTAAAAAGTATCACACCATCAAAGTTTAACAATAGGACTTCTTAATCAAAAACTTCTTATATATTTATTTAATTAAAGTGCCAGAGAAATAAAAAATGAATAAATATATTTCAGTATGTTTCAAATATATTTCTGAGGTAGATTACAGATGCTTTTTGTAACATTTCTATAGGACGATTCAGGCAAATGTAGGCCATATATTTTTTTCTCCATTTTTCAAAAAAGAACGGTGTAAAGTGTTACATATACTCATGATTATGGTATTTTGATACATATAATAATGCATGGTCATTTTGCAATTATACTATTTTTTAAACTTGAAACTTCTTTCTTATCTCGAGTTAAATTCCCTTGTTATTCTACGTAAAAAAGTATTGGAGTGATATGATCGAAAATTGAGTATTTCGCAAAATATGTTGACAACACAACAATACTAAAGAAATGAATATTCGATTACGGGACTACATATTATGCAAATACTTCTTATATTGCTTCTCTGTTGTTTTTTTAAACAGCTTTTATAATAATTCATTCCATTTCAACTGTAAATTCTGTGTACGACATAAGAAGAACGAATAAAAGCTATTTGCTAAGTAATAGCAGAAAATCAGCTTAAAGCGGTATCGAAAACCATTAAAAAACATTATATGAAATATTTGGAGTACGATGCTGAAAGCTTTAAGCGTCCTTTTTCAAAATGACTCGCAAAATAATCATTTTTCAACCATATTACGTTAATATTTGTGTACCATGCTTCATTGCATGAATAAAAAACCTATGATCATATGTAATACAGGACCTTGCATCGTTCATTATTCCGCTTTAATACTGTTTTCTAAATTCAGCAAGAAAAAAGACAGCTTGTTTGTTAGAGTTACGTGAATCACCTTATATACTATAGCTGTGTATACTTGTTTGTGATTCGACAGATGATTCGATGTATCTACCTATTTATCAATGATTATATTGTTTCCGAAATTTTATAAAATCTATAATTATCATACATGAATTACATTTCGTATTATATATAATACATATAATACATTATGTGTCATAATGTCAATACATTATATCAGATTATAAGCTTATTTAAAATATTTTATAAGTTTCTGCATAAATGAACATAATATTTATGGAAGGGGAGAAACATAATGGAAACTAAAGCTGAAAGTAATAATGATACATGCCGAAGCAAAAAGTCTAATATTTTATAGTACAAATAAATATAAATGATTGACCCTACTATCATTTTCTCATTATCGAAGTATCCTCTGTTTAAGGACTAAATAAAATGTCAGTGTCATCTACTATTTGGAACAAAATTATGCAACATTACTCACCGGTAATCCTTTTTCACCCCATTCTCCCTTCGTTCCGTGTTCTCCATAATCGCCATGTATCCCTTTGAAACCTTTAAGGCCTTTCAACGCAATGACCCCTGTCTTTTTCTTGTATACACGGTTACTAGGCGGTCCAGGTTCACCCCTGTCTCCTTGTTCACCTGGCAAGCCTTTTTCACCGTACACACTCTGACCGGGTTCACCTTGCAGACCTGGCAAACCGGGGGGACCTGGGTAACCCTACGATAAGATGATTGTTTTAACAGATTTTATATAAGATCAAGAAAAACAAATTTATTGTTAGCTCAGAATATTGATGTAATTATGTATGTAACCTCCACAGCTCACTTACACTGACTCGAAAGGCACACCGAAAGATCCTAGACCTCACTGATGTGTCACAATTATTAGCAATGTAAGCTCGATAGCTTTACACCATTAATAAGCTTTATTCCAAATACCAGTACAATAATGCTCGCTTAAATTCTACAATTTCGGGCCCCAGCAGTGAAATTTAACCGAGCAGAAAAAACAGGAGGACGATATTTGTTTCCAGGAATTGTCTCGAGCGCAGACTGATAAAAGCAGAGAATCGATGTAGTGAGTGAAAGCAGGATAAACACAGTCTATAAAGTATCGGAGATCGAGAAACAGGACTTCGCGACAAGTATAAATATGCAACAAAGAAAATTTCTATCGTAGTAATTTTAACCTTACCTTCTCAAATGTAGTAGTGATGGGTTCTTGAAATTGTTCTGATTAAAATGAGTCTAAACACGTTGTAAATCGTACTAAGTCTATCGACTTAATCTAATTAACGAAATTAAAGGTTCATTTCTTCCAAGTTGATAAAACTAAACCGCTTTACGTTGTGTTTGGACTCATTTTAATTAGAAGAATCTCAATAAAGCATTGGTACAATATTTAAAAAGATAAGACTGAAATTACTGAAATTGCAATGTTCATCATTGCACGATGACTCTTTATATTTAGGGCTCCTTGAGGTGTGTCTGTGTGTATTGTATTTGTTTTCTGCCCCTGTCTACTGGGATCACGTTACACTGAGCTGGGGATAGTGAATAGTGGGGGAAGAGTAGGGATGCTGCAGTGGAATTTAGCGGAGCAGATTTCTGTGGAATTTAAGCGAGCATCACGGTAATACCACTTTTTCTATTACCGTTCTTTAAATTATGCATTGAAAACATTATTTTTGGGGGTAGTATTTCAGAGTAGAAGTGTAAAGCTAGAACGAGATGACTTTTTTGACAGATTTTGTAGAAGACTAAGGAAAGTACATTCAGTATTATCTTACACGTATGACATGTAAGTTGTAGAGCTTACCTACGCTACCTCCATTACATTCCATTATATTATGTGTTGAATTGAAAGTATTATTCTCGGGAGTTTCATTTGGGAGAGAAGTTTATTAGTTCGCACAGCCTCGAGAGCAATTCACCATTATTACTTTCCGGTAGAGTTGGCTTATACTCCAGAGAGTACAGTGCTACGCGTCGAATTGAGAGTGTTGGTTAACTCTCTACTTAAGAATTATTCTTCGACTTGGTGACTTGTCCGATGAATTTTTAATAGTTGTAATAATTTTTGTAAAGATTTGCGTAGATCAATGTTTAACGAACTAGGTTTGGAAATAGATAGCTATTCTTTAACTTTCATTTTCATAGCAGAAATATTATCATAAAAAACCACAGTGAAAATATTATCCTGCCATTGATAACGATCTTTCATCTCATTGATGAATTTTTAAAAACTATCTTTCAGAACTTTTTTATCTATGAAGAAACACTCTTAATAGCTAGTAGTCAGACAGAAACGTTGACGTAATTGATAATCTATTTCGTTTCTTTTTAATTTTTTAAATCAGAAAAAAATGATTTTATGTTAAACTGTTTCGTATATCTTATTCTGTTACTGAGCTTAATCTTATTTTTTTATCTCGCTATATGTAAACAATAATTGCGTAATCTTATTATAAGTCTAAGCATAGAAAGTCTATTATAATATTGCAATATACATATCTAGTTTTAAGGTGAATTAGATTTTTTATTGTGGAACTAAAATAAAATAAAAATAATCAATGTTGTATTAATTATTGCTCGCAACGTATATATATTTTGCAGCAATTGTATTTATATAATTAAAATGAATAATCAATAAAATTGTCAGCAAAATTAGTCTCGAAATAACATTGAAATTGTGATAATAGAAAGTTTATTTCAAATTTTTATAAAGTAGAATTTAATATACAATAAAAAACAAACAAAGAACAACATATGCAGAAATTACGCTGACGCTACTTAAAATTAGGCAGATCATAGTAGAAATGTGTTATACATGTATGTTGCTATGCGACTTAATGCATTTACATATATTTACATTAAAATATAACATTAACAATAATTTAATTCACCAAATTCAAAATCTAATTTTCTTCTAATATTTATTTACGTTATCCCACAAAGGGAAGAAATAAGAAAACTCGCTAATCTTAAAATACACAGCGATTACAAAAATTATTTACACACTTGATGAAGAATTGTCAGTATTTTAAACTATTCGAACATTAAGATTTCCAATATAAAAATTATCTGTTTATATGCCTAATAAATTCATCAAATGTTTTATTAATTTGATTTTTTTTAGATTATACTGTAAAACATGACATTTGTACGTACAATGTATATGTTGTAAAAAATATGACATCATACATTTCTCTGAATGTTTTATGGCGTTTTTAACATCTTAATATGTTTTTGTCGTAAAGATATACCTAATTTCTGAAAAATTTCTTCAGAGATAAAAACATGTTCTAAGTTCTAGTTAGAAACGAAATAACATTACTAGTATGTTTGATAAATCTTTCTGAATAAAAAAAGTCATATATAGAAGTATACTGATCTTGATTGATTTGTTTTTGGCATAATTATTGTTTACGCAGCACGTAATACAAGTAACATTATCAGAAATTATATTATTAAAATGGAATGGTAACAATGATTAAAATTTCCTTTAAATTTATGCTTACGAGAAGGTTGTCAATTTGAATACCCTCTCCAGTCTATATGAGTAAATGAGAATAAGGAATCCATGAAAAATGAAACAAGATTACTGTATTACAATTATGTATACTTAGAATCTATTTGTAACAATAAACAAAACATCAACTAAAATATAAACTGTACATGACTTTCATTAATCCAGAATGATTTTCCAAACATACTGGTAACTCTATTCGGTTTCTTCTTTAGACACCCTATATTTACCTTCGAATAAGACTAAACTCGATGAAAAACGATAGGTCAGGCTATTCAAATACGACATCGCGTTTAAAGGAGGATCAGAATTCTATCCAATTATCTCATATTTTCGAGGACTAATTGTAAGTGAAAGCTATACATGTGTATCCGTTAGTTTGGAGCATCGCCAATGTAGGGAACAGAGGTTTCGTGTTTCCTAGGAGTTGCCAATCGTTCGGCACAATATTCTCTCAGGAGAAGACGACAGCTCGCGTTATCAGTGACAGTTGTGTCAGCGTATACCAGCCAGAGTAGCTAGACGATTCGGATTTCAGCAAATGCTGGTCCGTTTCGTATTTAGCGATTAACACGTGCCACCTTTGCTCCGACCGCCTCATCTTATCCGGTTTGCGACCGGTGACGTTTCAAAATTCCTTTGCTACTCTCTTTTACCAACAGTCCCTTCACAGATTGCAGTTTTTAAGAATTTTAAAATAAAATTCTGTTAAAAATTCGTGCAACCGCAAAGTCAGTATTATTTCATCACTAAATTTTGATAAATGATTTCTTTTAGTAAATTGGATGCATTTTTCTTTGTTCTTAATAGAGAAACACTGTTATATTGACGTAATCAAACCATTGTCTACAGAGTTAAAAGTTGAAAATATTGACACAAATGGTTGTTACATAATTGTTAATTAAATATTATTCAAATAGATTCAAATTGAATAATACGAAGATGGACGAAGATAATTTTGAAAAATATAATTGTTAATATCTTTTAATATCAAATTAAACGCAGATATACATATCTATATATCAGTATTCTAGAAAAGATTGATAAGAAGAAGTCGCCTTCATCGGAAAGTGTGCCTTCTTGTACCATGCACTTCCCATTAAGTACGTGTTCATATTTTCAGAACTCTAAGGAAGCATTCTTTAAAAAGACGACATTTCGCATGCACCAACTTAATAAAAATACTTAATAATAATTGCACCCATTGACTGCAATTTAGGGTAATAAAGTCACCCATGAAGAATCCCGACGATTAACATATGTCCCCAGGGGAAGACGTAAGTAGGACGAAGTCTCAATTAAAGGAGGACAAGTTGGATGAATCGCACTGTCGCCTTTAATCAATTGGTTCAGCTAAGATGCTTAAAAATTGGCTCCCCTCTCTTGGCAGCAATGAATTTTTCACCTAGAAACTTCCGAGTCATAAAAATGATCTGAACCTATTAGCGGGAGATCGCCCGCAGCCAAACAACTAGTAAGAAGAACAACAGCAGTTGCAATAATGCCGATGAAGAGGCGTTCCGGAGCAAAGACGAGTGTCTATTACGATTCTTTATTATCGTAAGTGCCGTTTACAGGTAAGTCAGCGCGTAAAACCGACTTTTATCGTTCGAAGGAAGCTCGGTGGTCAGTACAATGGTGTTCCGCGGTGATTTTTACGAAGGCCGTGTAAGAGGATTCCACCGCGACAGGCTTATCGCGTGATATCACCACTGGTGGATTCTTTTAAATTCTTCTCTGTTCTTGTTCGTTTCTTTTCTGGCGTGCCCGTTAAATATTACCGTGGAATACTTGGCTGGCCGGACGATATTTCATGCGAGCAGGTGGCATTTCGCCAAAAGGAACGAGACACGCTCCGGGGGCCGAAAGCGTCTCCCTTTATCACTCACGGCCCTCCGGTTCCCTCTCTTCGTTCGTACACCTCGTGCCTCGCCGCGGACCAACGGCACGACCTAAACTCTTGTAAGAGAGGTTCACGAACCTCTCTGGTTGGCCCGATCGGTGGTTACGGTACCCGAGGCAAGATACCAACGAATAAGTCGCGTCTCTGTACTCACCATGTCGCCTGTCCCTCCTGGATAGCCCATTTCACCGGGAATCCCGGGCGGTCCTAGGTAACCCTGAGAACAACATTCGAGTAGTTGGTAGAATTCATCGTGGAGAAAGGGGTGAGGGTGGGTGGATAAACGCTACGAGATGATCGATGAATCTTTATTATTATCGAATAAAGTTTCAGATACCGAAAAATGTTTGTGTGAGTTTGGATCGACTGAGAACATTCGTTTTAGAAGGTGATAAAACGGAGTATGGAACTTAATGATATATATATATATATAAAATGCTTGTATAATGCACACTGGAAAATGTTTATGTGGATTCATACATGAATTTTCTGTCAAGCTTATGTCAAGATGTTCGTATCAAGGAGTCCTCTAATTGTATATAGATACTGAGCAAATTAAGTCGTTTTCTTGTTCTTTTATGTATTATATTCAAATGCAGCTGCATTAGCACATCTTTTGATGCAGAGGTTGAAATCTGAAGGGTGCCTTACAATCGGTAATTCGACTGGGGAGAATATAATACTATAGGAAAGAATAAGACGAAAACAGAGAAAAATTTGTACACTTGAAGTCTTATTTTTGATAAAGTCAAGGGAAAATATTTATCGACAAAATCTCTATTTTGTATAATTACATTTTTTTATTTGATATCACATTTTAAAAATAGTTGAGTTTAAAAAAAAAATATATAATCACTGTGTATTAACACGTTGACGTAAATAAAGTCTGTAGACGTCCATTGCGTGTGCTTGTAGATGCAAACGACGTCTATAGCAGTCCTATATTTTTAATATTATAAAACAATTAAAAAATTGTATATCACTGAATTGAATTTATTACCCTCTAAATCCTTTAGCCTTCTTTTAAAAATTGTTGAAAAAATCAGCTATATATCCAGAATGCTTTGAGCCTTATCGTTTGATTTATGCTACAAATGTTTCTTAAAATTAAATTTTACATCTCTAAATGAATTTTTGAATTTTTCATATGGTATTAGAAATTTTTGTTCCTGTATCTTTCAATTTTGTGTTACATTTAAAAAAAATGTAAATGAAAATCATGCGCAAAATAAAGTTATGTTTATAAAAATGTACCTCTTTTATTTTTTCCTAAATTATTTTCAAAAAATGACGTTAGATACCAAAACGTCTATAGCCGTCTTTTGGGTATCAGAGAAATCGAAGCTGTGAAAAACAAATGACGGCTATAGACCTTTTTTTAGGAAAATTGATTAAAAAATACAATAATTTGAATTTGTAAGTATGAAATCTTGACTAATTGACAAAAAAAAAAGAAGTGTGTTTTTGGAAGCACTCACCGATTTCAAAATGAGCGTCAACATGTTAATTAAACGGATCGGATTTTACAACGATGCTTGTATTGCTTATAACGATGCTGTATTGTTACATTGTTTTTGTAAAATACTGCAAACATATTCATTTCGAAATTATTTTTAACAAAAATGTAGCAAACTTTCTATGGTACCAAACATTCGAATATGGAATTTTTTAAATTATTATACTTTTAAAAGAAAGAATGAAGGCGATAATGATGCCAACACATGATAATATTAGTATAAAGTGGTTGCACATAAAAGTAAGGAAAGAAAATTAACGAGAAAGAGAATTTCTTTGTATCAATAAAAATCTGAAGGAATTGGCCTATTGCTTACTTTTATCCTAATAGACATAATTTTTATGTGTAATTAAGGATTTTTACACTCCTTGATTTCAATCTTTTTTTAACAACATTTTTAAATATATTTTCACTATCTTGTAATCAATATAATATTTTATTTTAAACTATGTATTAGACATTCTAAGTATTTCAATCTGTTTGACAACATATGGAGTGTTCATTAAATAATGATGTAATGCGTGAATTATAAAAAGTAAAAGTTGAAATCAGTGCTTTCGGATTATGGAGATTTCACAATATTGCACGATTAAACGCTTTGATGTTCCGATGATATCGGATAAACGAAATATCGAAATGATAGACATGGGCTTCAACTCTAACAAAAGATTCCAATTTCCAATTCAAACTCCTCAAACATCAGACACCCTAACGTCATCGGGGCGGACGAAGAAATTTCGCCATAGCTATCGCACGTTTCCCAATATTCTAGTCACGTCCCAAAGCTACTGCCTCTCGCAAAACACTATTCCTCTTCATAGCCACGTGTCCAACAATTTCCTCCGTCCCGTCCTTGGTTTTCGTCCACGGAAGTGATTCGGTTCACGCGATTTATCTGCGAAGGGTGATTCTTCCCGAAGAAACAACAATTTTCTACTTCTTCTATAGGACTTTACAACAATGTATATAAGCGTACCGGAGGCCAAGATGTTTCATGCATTCAAATTCTGGAACCTAACCGAATCTCGATCGAACATCCATATAGTTGTGTTCTCGTCACGTGAACTGGTTCGCACACCAATTGAATTTGCAATGAATCTATCTGTATTTGTATAATGAACCGATACCCCATAAGAGACAATACAAAGTTGGTGCATTTCAGATTGTACATTTTATATTGCATCGTAGAAGTTAAACTCAAGTGTAAAGATTCAAAATGTAGGTCAATGATTATCTGAGCACATCCAGAGGGATCCATAAAAATTTCATAAAGCCAAAAGAATTCCAATTACAAGAAATAATTTACATGGAAGGCCGCTCGAAGTGATTATACTTTTAATTTTCTTATGCATGCTTTATGAATCTCAAGGAAATTTAACTCGTTCGACATATTATCACAAAAATAAGGTTTCAAGTCTACATAGAGAGTTGTGACACTTATATTACATATGACGGACGCTGTACTGAAATTGTTTATGTGTTCAATCTTACTGAATCATTTGTAACTCTGGGGACAGTTTTCATTAAAATGTCTCAGTACATTATTGTGAACTTCGCCCTTTCAATTTATTAACTGTAACAAAAAATACTATCTATCTTTATGACACTTCGTTTTGACTTCTGGTTTTTTGTTTGTATTTGTCCTACATGCAACTCTACTCTTCTGGTGTAGGAAAAGAATTAAGAGAAAATAAATGACTACACAAAATTGTATGGTCGATTCTAGGAGACCTCTGATAAACGATGTGCTGCAGCATATACGTTGTTTAAAATTGTTGGATTAAAAGAAAATATTTGAGATTTTACAGTATTACTTAAGAAACGGAATAGGAACCAGATACAATTTATTATTTATATGTAAAAATATTACTCATAAATATTAATTATTTTTACTATACATTTTGTCATATGAAAAAATTTCATTAAAAAATTGTGTTGCTTTTTTCATCTATTCTGGTGATCAAATAGAAATTGCTAATGTGAAGTGTATTGACGAATTGTCAAAATTATGAAATCACAGTAACTCCAAAGAACTATCATATTCCCGCATTTTTCTCTATTTCTTTTAAATAACCCCACTTTGACCAAAGTACAAATGAAGTTGTTCTGAAATTTGATTCAAATACAATTAAATAAAAATAAAATATATAAACACTAAAAAGGACGAAAGTAGATGAAGTGATGTTACATAAAAAATGGAATTTCAGTATTTTACATAAAAAAATAAAAGGGAAACGGTATTTGATTATTATTCGATGAAAAACTTGAAGTAAAATGGAATTTTAGTTTGTCAATTTAAAAAATTAGAAAAAAGTGTTTGGCACCAAGAAAAATGGATGTTTAATGATTGGATTTTCGCTCATATGATAAAAGTAATTACCTCAGGTCCATTGACACCTGGATTACCACGGATACCTTTCACACCGATAGAATTGATACCTCCGTCACCGGGTTCGCCAGTTGGTCCGTAATCACCTACGGGACCCGGAGGACCACGTTCACCATAGATACCCGGCATTCCTGGTGCACCGGCACGTCCATCGGTCCCGTTGCAACCATCCAGACCGTCCGGTCCCATTACACCGGCTACACCAGGGTTACCCTGCAGACAAAAATTTAATTATTGCTGGTCTCGTTTCAGTATTTTGAATTTTGATATGTTACTTCACCGAGGAAAAATAATTACTACGTTGCGAATTTAACGCATGTACACGATGCATTGCAATAAATAAATAGGAATATGTCACAAACGAACATGATATTTGATATGTTTTTTAAATAAATTTGACGTAATGAAATTATGAAACACGAATATTATTCATCACATGACATTATAATGGAAAATCAAGCGCATGAAATACTGTTGCATTAAATAGTCCTTACGATCTTCTGGAATTAAGAATTCGCATGTTGATGCTTGCGCAATGAAATATGTATAATAAATAGATAAAACAATAAATTAACTAAATATAGTCATTATTAGAAAGGAAATTTTTATCTAATTTCTCTTTGCAAACGTGGATTTAAAAAATTTTAATTAATTTAAACATCAGTATGTTATTTGTCATTAATATAACATATACGTGATAATTTCTATACATCTTGTCGGTTCTTGCAACTAAATTATGAAAGAATATCAAATATAGTGTTTACGGAACATGACAATCAATTTTATTGCCATGAACATTATGGTTATTTTGTAACTTTTTCAGTCAAGTTTCCTTTTTACTATTTTATAAAAAGCATTATATATATTCTGTTTATTTGATCAAAAATCTTTTTTTTACAGTATACTACATTATTCAACATAAATTGAGGTATTTTCTGGAAAAAATGTAAGTTTTAGATTTATTTATTTAAAATAATAACTAAAAAACTTTACAATGCCGTTTCGAGATTAAGCTAATACGTTCTGTATAATACTTTGGCTGTACACACTGCAACAAGTATTTTTCTCAATGAAATTAATACTAATACCCAAAAGATTGGGGTTACTTTTAATATCTACCATTTACGATATTACAATATATTTATAGTTTAATAATTGTATCTTATAGATTGTCTACAGTTGTATATGTCAACTTAAAATATACAAAACTCTATTTCTAATTAAATAAGTAATTCGAAATTTTTAAATGGAAACACTGTTCAGAAAATCAATTTCGAAGAAATCAAGTACAACTTGTACAAAGGAATATTTGAAATGTCTTTTTGCATTTGAATGAGTTGTGAAATTTCGATTACATTTAATTCAAAATGATAACGATTAGAACGACGAATTTTAACATCTAAACTTGGCGAAACTAGAAGTTTTATTTGAACAGTGATTTGTACAAACCGATAGTCCTGGAGCTCCGGGAAAGCCTTGTATGCCTTGGTCACCCTGAAAATGAAAAACAAATTAGATCCAGGTAATTGTCTGAAATTGTATAAGGCACGCTTCCGTAAGTTTTGCGTTTTCAAATTTACAATTTTTATCATGCAAAGTCAAAAGGAGGGATTTGCAAAGGAATTAGCTATTAATTACTATAAACTACATTTATACATCTGCTGAATGCTCCATCAAATTTACAATCAAAAATTGATAAAGAGTCCTTCCTCTTCATTAAAATTATTTCCATTTTGGCTTTATAGTTCTTCCATAATATTTATTTTTATCAACGAACAGTAAATCTTTAATAAAAAGTTCATTTTACAATTTAACGGATTTGTTAAAATCAGAATGAAATTAAGATTTTATAGGTTTTTGTCAAAATTCGTATATTTTTACATCCAACAAATATGGTTCCATATATTATATTAATAAAATGTATAGATAAATTTATTAAATATATTATTATTATGCATAGAACTCCCTTAGTAAGAGCATAACAGCAAATGTATGTTATAATAATTAAATCTGGGTACCATTAATTTGAATAAAATAATTTAAACGTTCCATGATATTCTACAAATTGTTTGACAAGTTTCTGTTTTAATTTTAAGGCGGTATTATAGTCCGATGGTGCTTTTTTATGCGAATTATTTATGAAGATTCAATAAAAGTTATTTAGCATAAATTTGTACTGTAATATTTACGTATATTTGAAGAATGATAAACATTTTTTTGTAGAATAATATTTAAAAATTGCTGCTATGTCGCACGACAACGTTGGATACAAACAAAAAGTAGATCATAAGTTTCCAAGCTTTCATGATTTGAGCTATTCTGCTTATCTCGAACAAAAAAATCTAACTGACTCTCAGATACTAATGAGTATGGCTATCACAGGTATAAAACAAAAGAAATATATTGTTTCTTGCTTTATTTGTCGTTAAATGATCGTAAGAAGCAGAAAAAAATATATTTAGGGATGATTGATATATCGGCGATAGCCACGCATGTGCCGATAACTCATGCAAAGTTTGAGCTCGATCAATGCGATAGTTTGTGAAGTATCCTAACAATCAATTCGAAAAATGTGGTTTCGAGAGAAATACGTTTTGAGGGCTCGAAGCTGGTCTATGGGACTTCGTTATTTTTTCGAAGATCGTTACGAAATTTTAGGAGCACATTTTTAAGGAATGATACTTTCGATATATCATCGATATGTTTATATACTAGAATACTCCTTTAAGTTTATTTTGTTTTTATTCATGCAAAATTTGAAAAATTTAATGTTTACGACAACTGTAAGCCATTTTATATAATGAAGGTATAGTTAACTGCACATATGTCCATAAAAGTTAATCAAAATAACGAAAAATTCAAAAATATGATGTACATATACATTGAAAATGTTTTACTTATCAAGTATGCATTGAATTATAATTCATTAATTATAATAATTTCTATAAGTAACTGGATCGCAAGAAGTTATTATTTTGAGAAATGAATCTTGAGCATAAATAAAATTTTACTTGCAGTTTCATTTGACAAACATATACATTTAAAACGATTATGGTAGTATAATATACACGTTTGTTCATTTAGTTATTTGTTATAATTATATGTAATAATTATTTATTAGCATTGTGTTATATCTTCTCAAGACTTATCAAAGATATCTTATCAAAACTTATCAAGACTTCATTAAATATAATTAACAAAGATAGACAACATTACATACATAAAATCTGCAGTTCACTGATAAATGATATTTATGGAAATTCCAAATAAAGATAAATTAAGGATGCGGCTAACCTTGGCTATTCTTTTATTTCTCCAAGTTGATATGATTTTACATCGTTGCTTGTGCTACGAACGCATAACATCTGCAATGCGTTCTGATATCAACATCTTTGATGATGGAATGGTACATTTGTAAAAATAACCGGTTCCATGATTACGCGACTGCCGCCTACCACATTTGTGTAAATATGGTCCATCGCAATTGAGAAGGGTGATTACCACATCGCACCCTTGATTCACTGTAAGGTCATCTAATCAGCTTTGCAACCGTGAGCATTCGAACGCTTCCTGATCTGTCAGGGCCAGTAAAACCAGGAAAACCCGGCCATCAGTAAACGCGATTTCGTTCCGGGTAAAATAAAGTGCGTCGTTAACAATTGCCTATTGCACTCAATTTGCTGCAACACAAAGAGTGCAATATAATTGTGCACGCCGCATGACGCGTCATGACCGCCAATGTGATCCGTGCCAGTTTTTTCGGGACCGCCCGCACCATTTGTTCACGTCATTTATGACCGACTAATTAGATCTTTCAGTCGGACATTATCAACGGTTTCAACCCTTTTTAGTATTTTATTCGTTGACATGTTACTGTCAAAGCGCGTCATTCAATGACGGTTTATGATTACACTGAAAGTAGTAATTTAAATATTTTTGAATAATAAACGATACATGGATATGCACATGTAATATTATCATTTTAAAGAATTGCTCAATACCGAATTCGTTCCGATAAATGAGAACTGTTAAAAAATTATTTATTCATAAACTACTTTCAACACATCAATTTTTTTTTTTCATGG